CCCCCACCACCACCCCACCCCGCGGAGATGAGAGAAAGAAACCCGCTAATTCGCAGAGATGAAAATTTCCATTGCGCCACGCACGGCGCGTCGGTGACCTCCCCCGGTCCTCCTCGGCGCGCGGAACTCATCTGCATGAGACGCGTCGCGCTGCGGCCGCCACTGCGGCCCCGCGGGGGCCCCCGGTGGGGCGGCAGAGGAGGCCCCTCCCGTTGGCAATATCCGGCCAGCCGGCGGCGTCAGCGTCGGCCCGGCCGTCCCGTCCCGTCCGCCTATTCGCGGATAGCTCTGCCGGCCGTGGTGGGGCGGGGCGCAGGGGGCGCCAGTGAAGATGTCGTCGCGAGGATCACAATGAGGCGCCGGGCGCCCCGCCCCGCCCCGCCAGACTCGCGCGTGTCGACACGGCCGCACCCGGCCGCGCCCTTGGGCCCAGCCGAGTAGGCCAGGGAGGGTGCGAGCTGCGCCACGAAGGGCACGATCAGAGCCCGCGCACACCGGGCGACGACGAGAGCGTGCGAAATGCAGGTGGTACCCGGTCAATAAAAAAGCGACAAATATGGGAGAGCGGTCGATTAGTGAAGGGGCGGTAAGTACTATCTGCTAACGGTCGGACCGAAACCTGCCCTGTCCTGCTCTGAGGCGCTTGTGAGTCTCGTAGAGGAAAAGAGCGACCTGCTCGCGCGGGCGCCACATCTTTTAACAGTGCAGCCTGCTGCCCAGGGCCGCCGCCGTGGAGGTGAGAAGGGCGCAGCCAGCGCTCTGCAGCCTGCAGCAGCAGCAGCAGCAGCAGCGGGCCCAAGCTATCGCCATTCTTGCGCAAGCTGTGCCAGACTGACGCATGTCGCCCCGAAAGGAAACCATAGGGCTTGCAACGGCCGGGCCGGGCGGGCCGGGCGGGCGGTGCGGTGCCGCGCGGTGATGCCATGCCCATGACTCCACTCTGCCGCCAGCACACTCTCAATCCGCACGACGCGGGGAAAACGTACGCATTTGCTGGGATGTATCGTATCCATTTATCCGACACGCGAGTGGAGCGTTTTGGTCAGATTAAATAGACAGATTGCAGGTGCCCACGGCGCCTGCGAGACTCGAGGTAGGCCACCCAGCAGTGCACGCATGCGCTGCATGCAATTTGTTGCCTACCCATCAGGCGCTACGAGAGCTTGCACAGGCTCAACTTCTGTGTGAGCAGACGCAAAGGTGACAGAGACAAATTTCCTTGACTCGATTTTGAGGCTGTACGTATCTCACACGCCTGGGCGGCCGCGGCCCCGCTACACCTGTTGCGCAGCCCGGTGCGGCCCTAGCTGCGGAGCAGACGGGCGCCCTCGGCGACCGAGAGGGGCGCATCTCCAACCACTCGCCTTGACGGCGCAGCAGCTGTGGGCCAGAGCGAGACGGAGCGTCTCACACCGTCTCTCTCTTCTCTCTCTCTCGCACGCGTGACCTCCGCGGGGGGACCCTCGGCCACGATGAGATTATTGCATTCGTAAGTGACAACGAGACGCTCCTGGGGCCTAACAGTCACGCCGCGCGCGTGCAGCTCAGCCCCCCCC